TTGAGGCGGATGGGCTACAACAGCAGAAGACCCCACCGGGTACCACTCATCCCCACTACAAATAGGAAAAAGAGGCAACAATTTGCACGAGCTCACCAAAACTGGACAGTTGAAGACTGGAAAATGTTGCCTGGTCTGATGAGTCTTGATTTCTGTTGAGAAATTCAAACGGTAGAGTCAAAATTCGGCGTAAACAGAATGAGAGCATGGATCCATCATGCCTTGTTCCTGTGCAGGCTGGTTGGTGGTGGAGGTGTAATGGTGTGGGGGATGCTTTCTTGGCACACTTTAGGCCCCTTAGTGCCACTTGGGCACGGTTTAAATGCCACGGTCTACCTGAGCATTATTTCTGACCATGTCCATCCCTTCATGACCACCATGCACCCATCCTCTGATGGCTACGTCCAGCAGGATAATGCACCATGTCATAAAGCTCCAGCCATTTCAAATAGGTTTCTTGAACATGACGATGAGTTCACTGTACTACAACGGCCGCCACAGTCACCAGATCTCAACCCGATAGAGCATCTTTGGGATGTGGTGGAACGGGAGCCTCGTGCCCTGGATGTGCATCCCACACATCTCCATCAACTGCAAGATGCTATCCTATCAGCATGGGCCAACACGTCTACAGGATGTTTTCAGCACCTTGTTGAATCAACGCCATGCAGAATTAAGGCAGTTCTGATGGTGAAAGGGGGTCAAACACCGTATTAGTATGGTGTTCCTAATATATATATATATATATATATATATATATATATATATATATATATATATATATATATATATATATATATATAAGTTGGCTTGCCAGGGTACAAATGCACTAAAAATGTTATTTTTCTTTTATGTCAGAACTGAATCAGTCAGTTCTTAAAAATTCAAACATCAACATCATAAAGAGTCTTCGAGCCAATTTAATGAGCCTCCAGAGGTCCAAACATAATCCTGAATCATTAAACTAGCTGTGATAATACATCGGACTTAGTCTAACATTTCAGTAGTCAGCAGGGATAGGTGGCATTTGTATCTGAACCTTCTACAATGTTGTTTTGTTCCTCACTGTTTTAAAACAAGGCCAGCAGGTGGCGCCAGAGGGTTAAGAGCCTGCATGTAGCTTGTCTGGAAGCTCAGGAAATATATATTTTAACACCTTTTTATATAGCTGTAGTATAAAACAATAACATATAACCTTTTTATTTTCTAATCGATTTTTTAAATTATTAAATCAGAACAATAAATTAACCCTATTCCCTCTGAATTCCTTACATCACATTCTCATAAAATTTAAAATTTAAAATCTCAAATGTGTAAGAAATTATAACAGCAGATGGATATTTCATTCTAATGAACTAGAGTCATTTGTTAAGTCAACAGGTTCAATTACAGCATGTAATTAGTGTCAGAATGTTTTCATTTACCATAAAATAACGAAACTGGTTGCCACAGTTTGCCCTCCACTGATGGCCAAAGGAGAAAATAAGGAGCTCAGCCTGCAACAAGGTGAGTATTCAAGCCAAAACACAGGTGCGGGAAGAGAATGCTGGCTAAAGATGTTAATCCTGTTAATAAAGACATTTTTATGTTTGATTTAATAAGTAAAAAGGAAAAAAACTCAATAAAACATCAAACTAAGAAACAAATAGGCAGAATTAGGATGCGTCAGGAGTGTCATGAAACCATGGTCAGCACTGAGTGGGCGGGTTTTTGTGGAAGCCACCCTGAGACCGTTCAGCACCTCTTCTGGATCTGTTCACATGCCACAACGTTTTGGAAAGACTTTAGCAGATTTATTATCGGACAGCTCTGCAAGGACTTCGTTTTAAAATGGGCAAATGTTGTATTTTGATTTTTTCGCAAGCACAGAAAGGAAGATGTATACTTTGTTATAAATTTGTTAATTCTAGCTAAATTCTATCTCCACAAATGCAAGTATAGTAACCAAAAACCTAATTTCAAGCACTATTATAGTGACACTCTATCTTACATAAAATAGTGGATCACTAAACAAAAAAGCTTTAAAAACTATAACTATTTGCACCACCGATAATTTATTTGTATGTGTGTAACATTTCTGTAGTGCACCCCCTGGCATATGTTTCATCTTCTTTGTTCAATTTTGTATGCAATTTGTTTGTATACTTATCACCTTGTTCAATAAAGTTTTGATTTTTTTTAAAAAGCACTGAGTGGGCGGAAACCAGGCTGTGACGTGATGAGGTGACGCCCACTCACCCATGGAAAAGAAGAGACGTGAACCTGACTTACTCATGCTGGCAACGACAGGTGCACCTACAGCCAAACACATGTGTTTGTGTATATTTAGACTTGGAAATGAGATGGACAATAAATCCAGTGTTGTCACAAGAATATGGGGTGCTCATTAACTTGTTTTACTATTAAAGAAGAAAAGGATGACGAAATGTTGCAAGTCTGGTTCTACAAATTCTGCAATGTGTGACAAGAAGCTGTTACTAATGCAACAAAGTTATATTTTATATGGAATAGGAAGTTCACTTTTCATATGCTGCATTTTTAGTCAGGAGTTTATCTTATAAAACTTTTTGTTCATTTCTGTTGCTTTTACTTTTGCCAAATTTAGCTTTTTTTCTTGACATCAAAATTGTAAAAAAAGAAATGTACACGAGTGAAAATTTTCATGCTCTCATTTATTACAACATCTGCAAAATTCCACTCCAAGAAAAAACAATAAATGAACATTGCTTGCATTTTTATTTTAGGCCTATTCGAGTCCGTGACGGTTATAATGTAACGCAGATTATTATCTTTTTTTTAAATAATTTCTATATTTTTAGAGATGTTTTAGTTTTTGTAGTTCTTTTTTTCATCCAGCTACATTTTAGTGTTTTATTAGATATAAGGACAAAAATCATGCTTTACTTGGTGGATGATGAAATAATCCACTTAAAGCTAATAAAACCGATGAATAGGAAACGAGTTTAAAACTAAACTGGAAAAAAATCATATTTTCAAAGTAAAATCTCAAAAAACTACAGAAAACGTCGTGTACAAATGCTAACTGCGTGTAAAATATAAAACATCTCATTTTAAATTCTGAGTCGTGACTTCTCTCGCGTTTGATTAGTCAGTTTTGGATATTTTAATTTTACGTCAGAACTACGTCATGACGCGGCGTAGTGGAATGAATGAAGGCGGCGGACAGGTCCCAATCAGACACACAGGAGGCAGAGAGCGCTCAAGATGTTTGCTGGGAATTAGATTTTTCTCCAATAAGGAATATTTACCAACAACCGGACCAAAGCCATCAGATTTATCGACTTCCGGAGCTCAATGGCACGGGGAGAAGGCGCGGAGCCGTACGCCGCAACTTTACTGACAGTCAAACCCGTAAATGTAGAAATCAAGACCGTAAAGGTAAGCTTTTACCTTTACACGCGTGACTTAAATATAGCTGATGGATAAAGTGATTTTTTTTTTGTTCCGTTCCCCCCGCGAGCGCAATAAGGCGGCTAAATTAAATGCTTTGATAAAAAGCGGCTCCTTCCTTCGGAAGTGTCGCCTTCTCATCCCTCTAAAGTCGTCGTGTCCTTCGCTGCCCTCGGGGTTTGAGTTTCACCCGGGTTTCCCCTCCTCTCCCCCGGGCTATTTTTTCAAGCTGACGCTCCAGCTTTAAAGGGACCTCGTGAATGTTAGTTAGTGATGTGACGTTCACGACACGAACGAATCTTTTGAACGGATTTTCAAAGTGAATGATGAGGGAAGAGAGAGTCCCTGCCGAGAGTCGTTCATCTTAACAAACCTCTCCGGAAGTCGGTCAAACTCACGCGGTGCTCAAACCCCACCCGCTGCTGTGACGGACGTAGGAGGAACCATAGATATGTATATAAATAAACACGTGTTTATGTACCATAGATATGTATATAAACACGTGTTTATATACATATCTATGGGAGGAACGCTAACCTACCCCGTGCGCCAACCCGGTGCTACTTCAGGGTCCACCGATTCAAACACTAAAACTGTGGTAATTTTCAGCTTTTGACTTTTATAAATAAGCTAAATTCGGTTTGGGGGTGTAGAAAAAGCTCCCAGAATCTCCCCGTGGACTGTAAAATATCACATATTTAATCATAGTTTGCTGATCTGGATTTGAATTTGAGTCTCTCTGACGAGAGGTTGTCCTCCACGGCGATTCTGGGGAAATAAAAAGGCAGATGTTCGTTTGGTTAGTTTAATGTGAGGCTTTTTTATTATCTATGCAAATAAATTGGACTTAATTTGGTTTTGATCCCCCAAATAACTAAACAAACTTCATGTGTGACAAATTGAAATATTACCATTTCTTTTGAATAGCCTAAATCTTGTTAAACTTTTTATTTTCATTCCAATCAGTTTGACCTGATTAGGAATCCCTCAGGGTAGTAAAGTCTGAAGCAGAGGCGTTTCAGCTTCGGCGCAGCGATATGCAGGCTGCTCGGAATAAATGTCACATTACCTCAAGCATCCTATTGCAGCAGCCAATGGTACGCTCGGCTGATGTGGTGATGCATCACTGAATGATCCAAAGTAACCTCAGCATTAGTGTGATGAGTCAGCACCAGTTAAACAGAAGCATGAAGCAGAAAAAATGGCTTCATTAACATATGCTGAAGTCACCAGAGTGCTTTCAAGCGTTTACAGTCAGAATCTGTCTTAAATTATTGTTTTTTTCTCCTCCAGCCGAAGGAACGGAGGAACCGTCTGTCTGTCTGGAATAAACTCTTCTATGCCTTTGGAGGAGCTCCCTATCAGATCACAGGCAGCGCTCTGGGCTTCTTCCTCCAGATTTACCTGCTCGATGTGGCTCAGGTGATTGGTGATAGATGCACAGAAACGGGGACAACCTGATTAGATTAGTTGTGTGATTATAACTTAAGTTAAGAAAACTCTACATTTGCAGAGTGAAAACTGTGAGACGAGTGTTTTCTTTGTTTCTTTTCAGTAGCAGCAAGGGCTGATTAGCTTCAAGGCTCATTTTCAGCCTTGTATCGGTTTAACAGTCTCTGGTATTCAGAGAAGCACACGAACTTGGACGCCCACTGTTTGCTTTGTTGCTGAATTAGTCTTTCCCCACTGTTCCCAGTAGGAACGTAAATACAGCCTGTTCAGCTCCAGGGTCACTAAAGTTGTGTCAAATCTGTTTTTTTAGTTGGATCCCTCCTATGCCTCACTCATCCTATTCGTGGGCAGGGCATGGGACGCTGTCACGGACCCGACGGTGGGGTTCTTGGTGAGCCGGAGCAAGTGGACCCGGATTGGACGCATGATGCCCTGGTGAGTGATTGGGTCAAACGGGACGGAGAAGACGATAACGAGACGATGCAGAGGTGATCTTCAGGGATGTTGGATAGTTTAAGAGCCAGGCTGGCATGAATGCAGCAGTAACTATGGCAACAAGGGCAAGGAGGGAAATTATGCAGTCTGACAACATGAAGGTGCAAAAATGAAACGACTCCATTTAATAAGACGCTCATTTTTTCCAAATCAAATATAAAAAAAATATACAAATCTAATGGTCCCTCCCTCGCCTTATATTATAACAGGGCTTCTAGGGTTTATATTATAGAGTTTATATTATAACAGGGCTTCTAGGGTTTATATTATAGAGTTTATATTATAACAGGGCTTCTAGGGTTTATATTATAGAGTTTATATTATAATAGGGCTTCTAGGGTTTATATTATAGAGTTTATATTATAATAGGGCTTCTAGGGTTTATATTATAGAGTTTATATTATAACAGGGCTTCTAGGGTTTATATTATAGAGTTTATATTATAATAGGGCTTCTAGGGTTTATATTATAGAGTTTATATTATAATAGGGCTTATATTATAGAGTTTATATTATAACAGGGCTTCTAGGGTTTATATTATAGAGTTTATATTATAATAGGGCTTCTAGGGTTTATATTATAGAGTTTATATTATAATAGGGCTTCTAGGGTTTATATTATAGAGTTTATATTATAATAGGGCTTATATTATAGAGTTTATATTATAACAGGGCTTCTAGGGTTTATATTATAGAGTTTATATTATAACAGGGCTTCTAGGGTTTATATTATAGAGTTTATATTATAATAGGGCTTCTAGGGTTTATATTATAGAGTTTATATTATAACAGGGCTTCTAGGGTTTATATTATAGTTTATATTATAAGAGGGCTTCTAGGGCTTATATTAGAGTTTATATTATTATAGGGCTATAGTGACTTCTCAAGGGTATCTAGTCCCACCTCCTGCTTCAGGTCTGCAGGTCAGTGCTGCAGCAAAGCTCATGCAAACTCAATGAAAGGAGTCAAAATAAAGACGTTATCAGATCAGCGTCTTCTTTTATAACCTTAGCAAACAAATTTCTACTGCTGAGCTAAAAGGGGAAGTTGTTTCATGCAAATAGGTGACCTCCAGGTTAAGTTTAATTTTTTTTTTTGTGGTTCAAAAAGCACCCGAGGAGCAGAACTGATATTTTCAGTCCTCTCTCCAACCACCGCACAAGCGTGGCAACTGTCTGAGCAGGGAAAAAATACAAATTCAGCTGTGCACAAGCTTCATGTTGGAGGCAGAAGCGGGGGAGGGTGAGAGGAAGTAAACCGGCTTCTGCTGCGATTGGTCCAACCCACAACACACCATCAGGTCTGGGCCAATGAGAGGGGGGAGAGACGAGTGCCACGTGTAGTTTGAGAGGAGCAGACCTCATGTTGATGGTCACGCTTGGTTAAAAGAGGAAGGTCACCTCTGTTTTTGTTTTAAAGATTGAAAAAGGGTCAAGAAATGCATGAAAACCTCTAACGAGGTTCGCTGAAAGTCGTTCTGGGAAAACCCGGCATCATTTCACGACTTGTTCCTCCAGAGAGAATAAAGAAATGGAGAGCTGAAGTCAGAGGTTTCACATGACCGTGTGAATGTCACATTTAATAAACAAACACCTCTTTGTTTCGTGATCCGCCCCTCAGGGGGAGACGGATTATCTTGTCAATGCGTGAAATACAGGAGACAAAAGCCGCTACCTCTTTACGTTTAAATCTCATAATCTGAAAATAAGAGTTTTTGATATTGGTGCATAAAATGTGTCCGTGCTTGATCTCAACCCCAGGTGGAGTTTCATTTTGTTTAGAATAGAAACGAGCTGCTGCTGAGGTCAGATCAGATCTAAATCTGAGCCAGAATGGTCTCACTTTTGGTTCCGCCCACCTCGCTCTCCCCTGACGGAGTCATTTCTCCATCCACGAGTCTCAATAAGGCAAGATTAAGGGGATTACTCACAAAGAAGCAACAGCAGGGGATAAGTGGATGAAAATTAATTGGATGTAACAGTAGGTTTACTGTGTTTAACAACTAAACGCCCAAACTTAAAATCAGAAATCAGAAAAAGCTTTATTGCCAGCGCTCCAGCGAACCAGAGCATAGGAACTTGACTCAGCAGCACAGCCTGACCAAGGTTACATACACACACACACACACACACACACATGTAGACAGAACAGATACAGGCAGACCACGAGAGCAGCCAAAGGTTGGGTTTTCACAGCATCTGTCTGCATTCCTTCCTTCGTGGGGGTTTTGTTGTTGGTATTCACAAGGCCGCCATGGCGTCAGATTCAGATAACAAGACTTTGTTTGGGTCAGGCAGAGATAATTTTCCTCTCTGCCTTCAAGTCTGTAGCTGATCATTCAAGTCCTCCAGCGAAGCCAATTCAGGTTTTAAACATCTCCACACCGTCCGGTGACCCTCTCCAAGATGACATCCAGTTTGCGCACTAACACCGGTAACGCAGCTAGAACACTGTCCAGCTTACGATTCACCTCGAGTAACGTCCCAGTCTGTGAGGTCTCCACACGGTCGGCGCTTTCCGTGGGTGCGGGTCGCCCTCCAATCGCTCCCGTCTTTCCAAATTTCCAGAAAACCAGATATCCTCCCACTCCAATCAGGAGAAATCCAGTGATCATCAGGCCGAATATCCACACGTCTTCGACGTCCTCAACGGACAGCTGGGAGAGGCAAACGGTCCTCCATTCTTTCCAGGAATCGAGCTTATACCCCACCGGGTGTGTCCCTTGCGGGCAAGTGGGAGCCCCCTGCTCCGTTCTCATCGTTGCAAAAATCTTATCAGTCGCGTTGAATGACCAATTATCCATTTCTAAAAAATAGGGATTTTCAGGAGAAGTGCAGAGAAGTGCTCTGTGGGCAGACAGGACAAAGAGCCTTGGGAAAAAAAGATAAGGGAGCAAAAAGGGAAGTGTCTGTACTCTGTGAGTGCCAGGAGAGAAAAATTAAGCTGATTTATTCAACTGTTATGTCTTCTTTCTCTCATAGGATCCTTTTCTCCACCCCCTTTGCAGTGCTGACTTACTTCCTGATCTGGTACGTGCCTCCGTTTGAGGAAGGGAAGGTCCTCTGGTACCTGGTGTTTTACTGCCTCTTCCAGTCCATGCAAACGGTTAGTTAGACACTCATCAGCCACTCCTTCCTCTTCATCACACTCTGCACACGTCTCTCTAACACTGGGTTTGATTGCAGTGCTTCCACGTGCCATATTCAGCCCTCACCATGTTTATCACCAGCGACCAGAAAGAGCGCGACTCTGCCACCGCCTATCGTACGTTAAGTTTCCCACGTGATTAAACGCACAAGTCTGAATTCAGACGCTGATGCTGTGCTCGTGTGTTTTCTCAGGGATGATGGTGGAGGTGATGGGAACGGTTCTGGGCACCGCGATCCAGGGACAGATTGTGGGCGGCGTCTCTAGTTGTCCCACAGAGCCGGACACCGCTGACGGCTCAAACGCTACAACAAACACGACCGGCGTTTCACTGGAAGACACGGTCAGTGTTTTTGTCCTTGAAGAGGAGAAAGTGGAGAATTTATTTAAAATTTAGAATCACTAAAGTCTCCATCCAGCTCTGCTGAGTTTTCTGAAGGCCTTTCATCTTCCTGTGAGGAATCAGTAATGATCTGGTCCATGTTAAAGGTGTGGTTTACTCCATTATTCAATACATTTGCCGTGTTCTCCAGCGTAAAGCAATGCCTTTGAGTAATTAAAAAGCTATGATGCTCCTGTTCTGAGATGCAGAAGTTTGCCAGTGCAGACGTGGGCTGAAAACAGCAGGATTGCTCATTATTATTAATGATATGCACGCACCTTGCTTCTGATTGGCTAACAGAACACGTCCAGCCATGTTGCAAAGTCACTATCGCCAAGTCACTCTCCACTCTCTCTCCTCGGTGCAAAAAAATTTTTAAAATGCCTTCCTGTGGGCGGATGCAAGCCAGGATGGGTGTGGCCAAGAATGCAAAGTCACAGTGTGACATCACAGTGTGAGGATTTTCAAATCCTAGAGTTTCACCATCTATCAGAAGCTAGGTGTAGGAGACTCGGAGTGACTGATTATAATCAGAAACGGTCATTAGAAAGTGTTTTTTCAGTCAACCATGCCTTTACTTGATTGTTTTATTAAAAGCTAGTGCTCCTTAATGGGATGCGATTAATTTACACTGGAGTTTCATTTTTATGGGTTTTGGGGCATTTTGGGCAGATGTGGAGGATCTGACCTTTGCTAAGTCACAGATTCCCTCTTGGACAGAAAAGGTGTGAGATACTCCTCCTGTTGCGTAGTCAATGGGAAACAAAAGACTACAGACGCAAGTTTCTGTTGAATGTTTTTAATATCTCGTCGTTGTCTTCCTCCGCTTATCCGGGTCCGGGTCAAGGGGGCAGCATCCCAACTAGGGAGCTCCAGAACGTCCTCTCCCCGGCCACCTCCACCAGCTCCTCCGGCAGGACCCCAAGGCGTTCCCGGACCAGATTGGAGATGTAACCTCTCCAACGTGTCCTGGGTCGACCTGGGGGCCTCCTGCCGGCAGGACATGCCCGAAACATCTCCCCAAGGAGGCATCCAGGAGGCATCCTGACCAGATGCCCAGACCACCTCAACTGGCTCCTTTCGATCCGGAGGAGCAGCGGTTCTACTCCGAGTCCCTCCCGAATGTCCGAGCTCCTCACCCTATCTCTAAGGCTGAGCCCGGCCACCCTACGGAGGAAACTCATTTCGGCCGCTTGTATCCGCGATCTCGTTGTTTCGGTCATTACCCAAAGCTCATGACCATAGGTGAGGATTGGGACGTAATGTTTTGAATATAAATATTAAAATTAAAAATGAAGATGTAAATTTTATGCGCAGCGTTTCATCAATGGCTCACGCAAATGTTCCTCTCTTCCCGTTCTCTGTCTTTAGAAACGAGCCTATGTGGTCGCTTCGGGGGTCATTTGCATCATCTACATTCTGTGCGCCGCCATTTTGTTTTATGGTGTGAAAGAGCAGAAAGGTACGACATATTTTTGAAAAGATCAAGTGAAAAGCACGTTTAGGTTTCCTGCTGGACGAGTCATGAATACCAGATTATCTCAAATGTTCGGGTCTAATTTTATTGTAGACAACGGGCGGAAAGAGTCTGATCCGCTCACCTTCCGCCAAGGCCTGCTGGTGCTGGTGAGTCACGGTCCGTACGTCAAGCTGGTCGTCGGGTTCCTCTTCACATCGTTGGCCTTCATGGTATGGATTCAGAATTGAATTGTTCTAAGGAAGTCATATTTAAAGACCCGTTTAACTGTTTTATGGTATGATTCATCTTTGACAGCTGCTGGAGGGGAACTTTGCGCTCTTCATCACCTACGCTCTGGGCCACAGGAAAGACTTCCAGAACATCCTGCTGGTCATCATGGTGAGCGTTTACACCGACAACAAACACTCTTATCAGATTGGTTCAGGCTGACACTTTGTTTTCTGGCGGCTTTTCGTCCGTTCGAGGACACGCCAACCTCCGAGGCCGAAAGGCTGATGTTTGGGGATGAGGAGGTGTCGTTTACGCTCCCGGGAGCCTCCCACGCATCGACTCAGGAGGAGAGCAGTCAAGCTTATGTTTCCAGGGCAACCGTCCATCGGCTCTAACTTCTTTCTGCTTTATTTATTGATTTCATTGGAAACTTTAGCTTTTTACAGTGTTTTTGTGCATTTTTTAGGTTTATTTTGAGCCCGGTGCTCTGGCTAGCATGCTCTCAAAAGTCGTGGAAAGAATTCTGCTGGACAGAATTGACATGAGAGACGACGACGACATGTAGGCAGTGCCGTGTGTTACATGCACTCGCTCGTAAGTTTGGGTCTTGTTCGGCCTAAGTTCACCGCTGCACACGGACAGGCTGCAGGCTGCCTATAACGGCGTTTGAAACGGAGGAAGCCCAGGTGGACGAGTGAGCGTGAGACTTGTGTAAAATGCGAGGGTGAGCTCCCTACAAGCTGCCTGAAGAGATTTTATTTATAAATGTATTTGTGGGCTGAAGAGTTCTGAGCATGTGATTGTTTTAGATCTAACCAGTGCCCCTGTCCGTGCAACACGCTACCAGTCAGATGTGCAGACACTGCTGTGACGGTCTTCTTCAGATTAGGGAGTTGCTATAATTGGTGCTTTATTTCACACGGCTGTTATCGTCTCATTCCTGTTCTCGTGACTATTTGGTCTCGTGTGCTTCAGCGTGTCAGGTTGTGCTTTAATCTCATCTGTGCAACGGTTTTGGGTTTTCTCCACCTCTGAATTGTGCCGAGAGTCCGGAATAAAGAATGCTTGGCTTGACTCGGGGTGAATGCACATTCACTTATTTAGATGGATAAGATCTTACCCAGGTGGAATTTTAGGAGCAGGAATACAAACGTTTCAGCAGCTTTCTGCTCCAGTTTGTCCTTGATCTTTATCCCAGTTTTACAAGGTGAAACCTCCGAGATCCCACCGTCCAGACTGTAGGAGATACGGGACAATGTCTGATGGTTTTCACCCACACAGCTGAATAATTGTGTGATCGGGGTGTTCTGAGGGAAAAATGATTTTGTCATATTTTTGGTGCATAACGTCTGAGACCTTTTGTTTTATCTCCATCAGCTGTCTGGGACGCTAACCATCCCGTGGTGGCAGTGGTTCCTGACTCAGTTTGGGAAGAAGAAAGCCACGTACTACGGTGTCTCGGTTAGTAGAATTTGTTTGTTTGGATCCAAAAGTCATCAGAATCAAGTCTGCAGGTTGAGCCTCGCCTCAGAGGACATTTATCTGACGCTCCTCTGTTCCTGCAGTGGGCCGTGCCCTTTATGATCCTCATCGTCTCCATCGAGAGCAACCTGATCCTCTCCTACTTGGTCTCCGTGGCTGCAGGTGTGAGTGTGGCAGCAGCCTTCCTCATGCCTTGGTGAGCTCCTCTTTAGATGAAAAGTCTGATTGCTTTTCCGAGCTTCCTCCTGAATGTCGTCTGTGTTTTCAGGTCGATGCTTCCTGATGTAGTGGATGACTTCAAAGTTCAAAATCCAAAGATCCATGGTCATGAAGCGCTCTTCTACTCTTTCTACGTGTTCTTCATTAAATTTGCTTCTGGACTGTCTCTGGGCATATCCACGCTCAGTTTAAAGTAGGTCCTTATTCATAATTCCTGCATTTTTCTCATGTACGTTCCTGTTTTAATCCCTTAGACTATAATCTCTAATGCTATAATAGCGATCATGTGGCCAACAGCCACATAATCCTTCTCTCATGTGTCCAGCCGTACTCACTTTTCCCCTCGTCTTTTTGCATTTTTTTGCAGATTTGCCGGGTATGTGACCGGAGACTGCTCCCAGCCCGAGGCGGTCAGTTTAACCCTGAAGGTGCTGGTCTCTCCTGTACCCATAGTCCTCATCATCATGGGGCTCTTGGTTTTACGGACTTACCCCATAGATGAGGAAAGGAGGAAACGCAATCGCAAATTGCTTCAAGAAATGATGTAAGTTGTTTCTTTTTTTTTTAAATATATTTGCACATTATTTCTGTTTGGCCGATGTTTTTCCTTTTTTCCGCCTTTCAACAGAGATTCTGAATCTGAAACCTCGTCTGAGTCCGAGTCCTCGGATCTTGGAAGCAGCAGCATATAGCAGCTCCTTTGCACGTTTCTCATCATGACCGAGAACCAGAGACCAACTCCATCAGCTTTACCACACCACCTCCAGTGGATCTCAACGGCTCCCTCTAGTGGTGGTTTTGTGAACAAAGTATTTCTGTAGCCTTTACCACCAGCTTCACTGAAACAGGCACATGTTTATTTAGTTTGTGAAAAACCAAATTGCCAAATGGTCTTTTGCCGTCGAGATTTTATACAAATCTTTTCACTCATTATTTGGTTTTCCAAAGATTTTTGCTGTGACTTTTGGTCGCCTCTTCCTGACTGCTGGTTATTTTTAAGTGATGTTCTGTTACTAGGCAGTGGGGACGCTACCTGCAGGTGACATCACCCAACGTGAGCAGAGTAGTCCTCTGGCCGGAGGCTAGCCAGAATGCTAACACGCTAGAGGCTAAATTCTGGTGCATAAAACAAATTCTTGTTGACGAAGGTCATGTTGTTGCATTAAAACGCTGTAATCTGTTTAGAAACCTTTAAAATTTAGTTTCACACATTTTTGAAAGTTTCTGCAGTTTCACCCAATCTCAGATGGCCAGTGGGTGTGGCCAGTCATTAAGACAGGGTTGGATAGGGCGGTCTCAGGTGTCTGGTGGGTGTGGCCTTTCAGTACGACTCTTCTGGGAAAAGGAAACTAACCAGTGAGGAAGAAAAGTTTACAAACGTAATGTGTCCAAACGCCTGAGTTGGTTCACCGGGAATTACCCACTAATCTGTTAGCGTTGCGGCTAGCCGAGTGTCCAGCCGGACAACGACTTTCTGCTCGTTTTTCGGTGACGTCGCCTACAGGCGGAGGCCCTACCTAGATAAGCGTCACTTAAAAAGGACTGAAATTTCACTTGAACACCATCCAAGCAGCTCATGAACTTTATGTTGCCTCTGTGCGGCTCTTGAAGTATTTATTTGTTTCAGGTGTCTGTTGCCTTTCCTAAAGGCAGCATCAGCGCTCGTTTACAGCTTTTCGGTTTACTGAAGAACACTTTTTCACAAACTTGAACTTTCCCATCGTGAAAAGGTGTCTTCTGTACTAAAGACCACCTGCCTTAAAACACGTTTTCTAGTTGCTGTGAGATTCTTCTGTTAAACTTGATTTAATGATCTTACGTTTCTACTTTTCCTGCTTTGATTTGGAAGTTTTAAGCACTTGTGTGAAAAAGTGTGAGGTTGTTTCGTCCGTTCCTCTCTACCGGGACGGGAACTGCTTTAACTATTTATAGGAAGAAGAAGCACACCGGGGGTTATCATTAAGAACCACATGTATGTAATTTATTTACATTGTCTGAGTGATTATTGACTGAGTGTGTGTTATTTATTTGAAGTGGAAACGAGCTGCTTTTACATTGACTAATATCAGATTATTTTATAATAATCCACATTCTGGAGGCAGTTGAGAGATTTAACAATCTTAATTTTTTTGCTGTAGTTTACCTTTTGTTGAACTTTGCACTGAATGTAAACCATGAAGCATATCACACACACACACACACACACCCTGTGGTTCTCAGTCTAAATGCTGCTGTTTGTATAAACTGTAAATAGTTGTTGGCAAAATAAATATGTAAAAAAAATTCTAAGGAAACTGATGAGCTGTAAATTTGTCACTGAATAAATTTCGTTGAAACTAAAAGTTGTTGAAATGAAATATTAACGAGTCCCAGTAATTTCCTTATAATTGAAACTTAACTCTTCTACACAAAGACACGTTTCACATGTAAATCATGTAAAATGATAAGGTTTAAACAATTTAAATAGTTTTGTCTTCAGTGCATGCTGAGTAAATGCCATTTAAATGGTTAATGTTTACATGTGACCTGAGGGTGTGTTCCAACTATAGGGGGATCGCACTCCTCAGCCTCCCTGGAAAGGTCTACTCCAAGGTACTGGAGAGGAGGGTCTGATCGATAGTTGAATCTCAGATTGAGGAGGAGCAATGTGGTTTTCGTCCTGGCCGTGGAACTGTGGAGCAGCTCTGTACCCTTGCAAGGGTGATGGAGGGGGCATGAGAGTTTGCCCAACCAGTCCACATGTGTTTTGTGGATTTGGAGAAGGCTTATGACCGTGTCCCCAGGGGCACCCTGTGGGGGACGCTCCAGGAGTATGGGGAGGGTGGCCTTTTGTTAAGGGCCATTCAGTCCCTTTACCAGAGGAGCTTGAGTTTGGTCCGCATAGCCGGTAGTAAGTCGGACCTGTTCCCGGTGAGGGTTGGACTCCGCCAGGGCTGCCCTTTGTCACCGGTTCTGTTCATTACCTTTATGGACAGAATTTCTAGGTGCAGCCGTGGTGTGGAGTGTGTCGAGTTTGGTGGCAGGAGAATCTCATCTCTGCTTTTTGCGGATGATGTGGTCCTCCTAGCTTCATCCAGCTCTGACCTTCAGCTCTTGCTGGGTAGGTTCGCGGCCGAGTGTGAAGCGGCTGGGATGAGGATCAGCACCTCCAAATCTGAGACCATGGTTCTCGACCGGAAAAGGGTGGCTTGCCAACTCCGGGTCGGGAGAGAGGTCCTACCTCAAGTGGAGGAGTTTAAGTATCTCGGGGTCTTGTTCACGAGTGAGGGTAGGAGGGATCGGGAGATCAACAGGCGGATTGGTTCGGCATCTGCAGTGATGCGGACGCTGAGCCGATCTGTGGTGAAGAGGGAGCTGAGCCAGAAAGCCAGGCTCTCGATTTACCGGTCGATCTACGTCCCAATCCTCACCTATGGTCATGAGCTTTGGGTAATGACAGAAAGAACGAGATCGCGGATACAAGCGGCCGAAATGAGTTTCCTCCGTAGGGTGGCCGGGCTCAGCCTTAGAGATAGGGCAAGGAGCTCGGACATTCGGGAGGGACTCGGAGTAGAACCGCTGCTCCTCCGGATCGAAAGGAGTCAGTTGAGGTGGTTTGGGCATCTGGTCAGGATGCCTCCTAGACGCCTCCCTGGGGAGGTGTTTCGGGCATGTCCTGCCGGCAGGAGGCCCCCGGGTCGACCCAGGACACGTTGGAGAGGTTACATCTCCAATCTGGTCCGGGAATGCCTTGGGGTCCTGCCGGAGGAGCTGGTGGAGGTGGCCGGGGAGAGGACAGTCTGGAGCTCCCTAGTTGGGATGCTGCCCCCACGACCCGGACCCAGATAAGCGGAGGAAGACAACGATGTTTACATTTTCACCTAATTAACATGTTAGGTCTAAATGTTTAAACGTGAATCTAAATAATGTCGGAAAGAAATATTTAAAATATTTAAATGGAGAATCTGCAACATTTACAGCCAAATCTAAATATTTAAATCTAAAATGTTGAAATCTAAATATCGAATTGGTTTTTATCTTAATGTTTATCCATCATGCCATTTAGATGTAGCCTAACTAAATGTTTCAATTGATGCTAAATATTAAATTAAACTTTTTACACTTTGATTTTAATTATAGATCTATGTTTATAATCATAGCTCTATATTTATATTGCATATTCAAATTAAATTTTAAATTTTGTCTTTATTATTTAAATTTAACAACAAATATTTAGATTTGATTCTCAAGTTTATTCTAAACCTATGCAGCCCATTTAGATTCGAATGTTAATATTCAGTTCAACTTTTCTCATTTAAGATCTTAAAAAGACATTTTTTTTACTTTTACTTAAGATGAATTACTTCTTGGTTTAATCTATAAAGTGATTAAAAGTAGTTCAGGTCCCTAAAGCAGGTTGCCTTTTTAAACAGCCGGCCTTGTCTAGCGCACTAATTACCTGCAGCCGTGGCTGAAGCGACTTTACGCACAGATCCAAAGCGGAAGGAGCACAGCAGCCTTTTTCTGCGATGAAAACGAGGTGGCATCTCTTTATTTTGTTTATTTTTATTGGAACACTTGGTTCTGCTGCGTACGCTCATAAAAATACGTCCACTAAAGGTAAAAAATGGAATAAACTGAAAGTCAAACCGATGGGAGCCCGGAGATCCTCCCAGAAGGTTCCTGGAGGCGCATCTCAGCCTCAGATCAGCTCGCTTCTCTCCACCACGCCGGTGACTCCACCTGTGCGTCCAGGAGAGCCCAGAGCGCGGACCCAGTCGGACTCTGCGTACGTCCCGGACGTGTCCGTGACCTGCTCCACGTCGGAGTTTGTCGTGCGGGTCAAAACGGCTTTCTACGGTCTGGGCGCGGACGCGCAGGAGCTGACATTAGGCAGCAGCTGCAAGAGTAACGGGGTCGTCCGGCCACAGGGTGATTTGCTCTTCACATATCCAGTAACAGAGTGCGGTGCAAAACGAGAGGTAAGTTAATATTATAAACTCCCTTTTATACCACAAAATACTCAAGTTTACTGGCTTTTACGCACAGCTGCCTCCCGGTTACCTGGTTTATAAATACGTGCTCCATTATGAACCGTCACCAAAACGATTCCCGAGCAATGCGCACCAGATCAACGTCAACATTGAGTGCCATTATCAAAGGTTTGGGTTAATAATTTGAGTCTAAAGCATCCGTTTGGTGTTTTAATAATTAGAAAATTAAACTCTTACATTTGCGTGCCTGCAGGGATCAATCTGTATACCAGCTGGCGGTGCAGCCCACGTGGCACACAGTTATCATGCGTAAAAAGCTAAAAGGGCGCTCAATGGACTTCCAGATCAAATTAATGGATGGTAAGATATTTTCAGAACTGTTTCCTGCGAGCACAACTCTTTAACTCAACTACTGTCACATTTGTTCATTCTTAAGATTCATGGACACCAGCCAAGTCTCAGGTTTACCTACTTGGACAAACCGTCAACATCCAGGTGTCTGCTCCTCACCTGCCTCCTGGGTTGAAACTGTACATCAACAGCTGTTACGCAACACCCCCCAGCAGCTCCAAATCCTCCCTCAAATATGCCATGATTGACAACTTTGGGTTTGTATCTCAGAAAGGAAATCCAAAGAGCCTGGGGTGCTTTTGGTGTCCATATTGTTGTGATTTTTATCCACAGCTGCATGGTGGACAGCAAACATGACCCCGGGGCCTCGCAGTTCATTTCCCGCACAGACAACACCATCAGGTTCTCCTTAAGGGCCTTCCAGTTTACAGCTGACCCAGAGCTGGAGGTGATGGTGGACATGGATCCTTCTGCACATCTTTAGATTACTTGATCCAGATTTTGTGTTTTTAGATCGGCATTCACTGCAAATTATCGGTCGCATCAGAGGATCCAGGACCTGCACACAAGTCCTGCACCTACCAGGGTCAACGGTGAGTAGTAGGAAATGGGTGTTTCATGTTTCCACCAAACCTGTTTAAAGAGCTTTTTTACCCGACAGGTGGAGGGCTCTTACTGGCCGTGACTCCGTATGTGAGTGTTGTGAGTCAACATGCACCACCTCCAAACCACGGAGGGCCTTGATGGAAGGTCTGTCACCACGTCTATAGATTTACTGGACATTTTGAAGCTGCTTTATTTCCCCCAGAGACGCAGAATATTGCCAGACTTTTATCAAAACCAGACAAAGTAGTTAAAAACAACATATGAACACTGAAACTCACATTTGACCCAGTTGTGGCTAATTTCAGGATTTTAGCTGAAACTGGATCATCCAAGCATAAGTTTACTCTTATTAAAATGAAAATAGATGAAAATTATGCATCTTTACATTTGCATATTGACAAAATGAAAAATTAAAAGGCCAGTTTTTAATTTGTGTCTTTTAATTTGAAGGCTTTGCCAGGAGTGGGCTGCTACTGGTCTCTGACCAGCCGAGTGCAGCAGAGGATGACCTCCAACCAAACGGTCCCTCTGCTGGTGGAGGAGAGATGGAGAACATAAACTTCTACACGGACACGAACGTTCATGAGAAGCTTTGGGAACATTTGAGAGCAGAAGATTATAACGGATATAAGGAGAAGCAACCATTTGAACAAAGTGACGTAATTCTTGGGCTGTTGGGGGAACCTGATTTGGCTGAGGAGAGGAGTTTTGAAGAAGGCGAGGTAAAGGATTTAAATACCGGGGAGGGTGGATCTGGATACGACACAAAAGATGTTTCTGAGGACATCGGCGAGGAGAACGATGACCTGCTTCTGCAGATGGAGCTGGAGTCGGCTGACCCCGAGGAAGGGAAAGACGAGAAACGTGCATGTAGCAAAACTAAAAACAGGAGGAAGGTGAAACAAGACAATTTGGTTGATAAAGAGGCCAAAACGTGGATTTTCAAATGGAAGTAACTCGGCTCAGGAGCGTTCTAAAGATCTAAACTCAAAGCTGTACATAAATAAACTGTCTGAGGATGATTCTTTTATTCTTTATGAAACAGTTGGTTTGTTTTCAAAAGTTTACTCCTGTAAGAAAACTGAGGACTTTATTTAGGATTGTGGACTTTGTTTAAATTTATTTCTATTAAAGAACTCTTTTCCAGGTAATTGGGCTTTTTAAAGGTAAATAAAAACATGCATATAAATTTTAAAATTCATTATAAGCATGTACATTTCTTTAATTTCTGAACTATATGGGTCTATTCCTATGGGTCTATTCCTATGGTAACAAAACAAATGAAGCAGTTTGATTCAGTTTGAGAGTGAATTATCTTTTAAAGAGCAAGTCACCCCCAAATAAACTTTTTTTTTTACTGATAAACTAAATAAATGTGTCTAATCGTGCTGTAGACACGTGTAGTAAATGATTTGGCACTTCAGTGCATCTTAGTTAAAATTTAAATATTCTGCCTAAAACTGGCATAGTTGTGCCATTGTCAGGTAAAAACTCTGCACTGTATTTGAATTTAAATCTGCTACCGCTATTGGCTAAGAGGTATGCTATGATGTAAACTGGTACATTATGATGTCACAATTCTGTTGTGAGCCTGTGTGTGTGTGTGTATTTGTTAGCAGCTCTGCCCTCTCGATCTGCCAGGCAACAGCATTTGTTGCATTTTTCAAACATGAAGTGGGAGTGGAGTTAGACTCTGGTAGGGGGTGACTTGCTCTTTAAAGCTATAAATGATGGCTGAAACAAGAAAAATGCATAAACCAGACTTCCAAGTTTGGTCTGACCATAAATCTTTAATTTTCTTTATAAATGTTTGTCCCCGTTAGTCTCAAAACCTTTCTGAAAGTTTACCAGTCAACAAAAAGTGATTTATAACTGAGGAAAAGGGGCAAAGCCTCCATTATCTGTAAATAAAAGCAGCAGAAAATGTGCTTCATGTGAGTGATTATTGCTGTAAGTGACATTTGTTTCAGACATTGACGTGCAGCCCAGTAAACAGGTGAGATTTTTTCAAATTTGGTTATGATCGAGCATTTACACAAATACTAATGTAACACAAGAACGGCTGCATTTCATTCATTACAAAAGAGCAGAGCCTTCTGAAGTGAGACGGAAGTAAATAACTTAAGATAATTAATATTTTGTTAAACAAATATAATTGGTGTGGAAACTCTTTTAGAAATATATAGAACTCTGCAGAACAGATCCAAAATGACAGGATGTGTTAAATGTACAAAATACAGTCATATTTACAGAAAAGTTACCAAAAATCCCGTCGAACGAGTGGAGACTAGAGATTTGATTCAGCAGGACGATCAGTACAGTCAGTTTGACACTAGAGGGCAGCCTTTCCCCACTTCTTGCAACCTAAAGCTGAATTTACTTCCTCTAAAACGCAAAACGAGTAAGTAATCAGGACCCACACCTCAAATGTCAAATTTAAACAAAGAAACTCAGAATTTCATTGATCCAAACCTAGTTTCTTTTAAAGACTTTGGTAAAAGTAAAACAGTGTTGTCCTTCAGATGGTTCCTCTAGACTTCACCGTCATGTAGATGTCTCCCCTTGAACAGTGCCTGCTGTCCCGTTGACTTCCTCTGGGCCATCTGCAGATGAAACACACAGGAATTGGTTTGGTGGTGTGAAAGGGTTGGGTTATAAAAACCGCTGATTTGGGTCGACTTACCTTCTGTTCCATCTCGCTGTGCTTCCTGTCCTGCAGTTTGCTCCACAGCCTCACCAGCCTCCTCCTCTTTGCTCTTCGTTTTTGGTTTCTTAGCAACGGGTGGCGGGACCTTTCCTCCCGTCTTTGACTCCGCCTCACTGGTCACCTTGGCCACAGAGGAATTTTCCAACTTCTTCTGTACAGTTTCCTTGTTTTCTTGCTTTTGCTTCACCTCAATTCCTACCCTGGTGTTGCTCTTGGAGAAGATGAAGCTTGCAGTGTTGGTTGGGGATCTAAGGAAGCCTGGAGGGGACAACTGCGAGGGCAGGGTGAGGCGAGAAGCGGGACCTTCTTTTGATCTGGCTGCTGTCCTGAGGCGGATGGCCTCCTGCAGGTTCATGGAGACAGAAGAGGTCGTGGTGGGAGACTTTTTCAGAGGAGAGGCGGCTGTTGGTGAAGCTGCAGGTGGAACCACAACAGACTTGGGTCGAGAGGCTTCAGAGCTGTCGGTGTCGGGTGGACTAGTGGGAGGAGGAGAGACGAGGATCAGAGATTTTCTGATCGGCTTTTGAGGAGCCTCGTTGCTGGAAGACATTGGAACTTGTTTGTCGGGCTGTGGTTGATCCACTGTGACATCGGGCTCTGGTTTCTCTTGAGTTGTAAAAGTTTCAGGCTTGATGGACTGAAGACTGACTGGAGAAGATTCAATGGACAAAACCGAATCGGCACCTTTCACAGCTTCAGATGCTTCAGCGCTGCTGTTGGCAGGCTGGAGCTTGACCACCTGCAAGGCAGGGTGTGTACCAGTAGCTGTGGATTCCTCTTTCACACCTTTAGCAGTTTCTGGGCTGTTGTTGATGACAGATGAGGGACCATTGGGCAGGGTTTCCTCTTTCACACCTTCGGAAGTTTCAGGTGGTTCCGGGCTGTTGTTGATGGACCGAAGCTTGACCGTCTGCAAGACAGCAGTGGGACCGTCGGATGTGGCTTCTTCTTTCACACCTTTAGCGTTTTCCGGGCTGCTGTTGATGGACCGAAGCGTGACCACTTTAAGGAGGGGAGGGGTTACATCTGAGGCGGAGACCTGCTCGTGAACTTCAGATGGTTCTGGACTGCTGTTGACAGACCGAAGCTTGACCTTCTGCAGGAGGGATGCGGTGACCACCGGAATTAGTTCCTTATGTGCTTCAGGTGCAGAGGTCTTCTCTTGGGTTTGGTTTTTGGTGCTTGGGGGACTAGACGGATGCGTGATGCTGGCAGGAACCTGCACAGGTAACGGTGGAGGCAAAGGAATACTCGTAGGTGGAGGAGGTTGTTCAGCCTCTTTAAGTGAAGGTGTGTTTCTGAACTCAAATGGAGGAGAAGGGGGCACCCCATCGTCAGTTACTAGAGTTATGTGTGAGGTTTGAAGGAGAGGTGCTACAGGAGGTGGAACACCATGAGGGGGGGTGAGAACATTGACAGATAGATCTTTTGTTTTTGGTTCTGATGAGATTTTCTTCTGTGGAGGATCAATCTCTTGCTTCAGTGGTTGAAGCTGTGGAGGTGGAGGAGGAATACTTTGCGGGGGGCCAAAGTTCTCTACAGGGGCTACTTGTCCTATGGGCTGAGAAGCTTCTTGGTGATGATGTGGAGGAATAAAATCTTTAGAAGGCAGGGCAGCAACTGCTCTGGAAGAGAGAATAGAGACTTCTACAGCGTTTCCTGGAGGGGGGGCTTGTTTTTCTGGCGAAGGTACGCTAACCGGTGGAGGAACTTCTTGAATTACAGAAGTGGAGGGCTCCTTGTGCGTCACAGGAGGTGGTGGAGGAGGAGGAGGAGGAGCCTCTTTCATAGTTGTTGGTGGAGGGGGAGCTGAATATGGTGGTGGAGGAGGGATACCCAGGGATGGATTCTCCACGTCCTGAGACGAGAGGAACTTCAGAGGTCCCACCTCGACTTGTTCTTTTACCTTTGGTGACAAAACTAGTTCCCCCTCAACAAACATCGGGGGAGGAGGGAGAGGGAGCTCCATCTCATCACGTCTGCTGGCGCTTACTTGCGACAGCGGTGGAGGCGGCGGGGGCCAAGATGATTCAGGTGAGGTAATTCCTACCGATGAAGTAACAGTGGTGGTGTCTCTTACAGTGGACTGGACCTGATGGTCCACTGGTTCGGAAGACGATGGTGGAGAAATGCGTACTGATGAAATGGTAGGTAGTGTGTTGATGTTGACCTCTGCGGCTTTAACGTTCTGACCTTCTGCTCTCGTTGCTCCCTGCTTGTCTACAGCTTTCACCAATATCCCGTTCAACATCTCGCTTAATCTCACTTTCTCATCCTTTCCGTGTTCTTTCGACGTTCCATTCTGGGTTATTCTTTCTTTCTTCACTTTTCCATACGTACAATCACTTTCTGTCTTTGCGTCCATCACGTGCACTGATCCATGTTCAGACTCAGCCGTGGGACTTTGGTGTTTTCGTTCCGTGGCCGTAGATGAAGGTGGAGACTGCCTCTGTTGTCTCCTGTCCTTTGGGTTCTTCTTTAGGACCGTGTAGCTGCTGCCGGGAGCCGGGGGTCCCAGGAGCAGCTCAATCGAACGTACGTTTTGAGACCATACCTCTGGGGGAGGAGGGGGAGGAGCGTGGATTTTGGGTGGGGGAGGGATGTTGAAGAGTTGTCTCAGCGTCTGAACAGAGGGGCTGACATCGGGTTTGCTTTCTCCAGCAGCGTTCCCGTATTTATCTCCTGGCTGTGGTGCCAGGGCTGGTGCAAGCCCAGCAGACGTGGACCTAGAAGAAAAAAACTGTGGAATCTTTGCGAAGAGTCCCTTTTGCTTCAGAGACCATTTGATGAAATGTGGAGATGTTCCATCTTGGCTGGAGTAGCCACTGGATGGGGAGTTTGGTTTGTTGAGCTTTTTGTCCTGAGGGGATTCCTGCTCGTCACATGAACGTTCGTTCAGAAGCTTTTCTGCATCCTTGTTTGGCTCCTCGGCCTGAAGCGGAGATCTGAGAGGGAATGATACGGAACCTGTAGAATCATCTGGAGAACTGATGTCTGCATGGTAGCCAGTGCTGTCTAAGGTCCTGGAGAGGACTACAGATGATCCAGGTTGAACATTTTCGTGGTCTTTCTTTGGGGATGGGGGGCTTTGTTCTGTAGCAAAAACTTCTACCAGATCTCTTGACCGTCGTTTCTTACCGTGAAGGGAATGTGAGCGGTTTGGAGGTGGCGGAGCCCTCTTGGACTTCATGACAGAGAGACTACGCACAAACTGTCCTTCTTTCCTAACCTGGTCTCCCTTAATGATGACCTTGGACGAATCTTTAGAGGAGTTAACATCAACTTTGTTCGCTTTAGCAGAATTGTCTCCACTCTGAGGTTTCTGTTTAGGGGTGCTGCTGCTGGAGATGGTTGAAGAGTTAGAAACCAAAGTCTCTGATGAGGCAGAGTCGCTCCATCTTGAGCTGTCGGACATATAAGGATTAGCGTTGTAGCGGGAGGCAGAGGTGATGTTGGAAGAGGCCCTAGAAGAAGCCCGGGAGGGAGACGGGCTAGACACTATGCTGCTTTTGCTGATGGTGCGCAAGCTGCTGCGACGGCTGCTGCGACTGATCTCCACCACCTCGATGGAGGGTGGCAGCACCGCGTTGGGAATGATCTTGGACAGGTAAGCAGCCTGGGGTGACATGGTCATAACACGGCTGGACAGACCCTGTTGGACAACAGCAGAACCACTCTTCCATCTGAGGGGATCCAGATGGTGCAGCAGGGCCAGGTTGTCCCTGTGACCAGCGTGGGTGGCATTGAGCTGCTCAACTCTGTCTTTACTGAGCGGATGGACGACGTTAGAGGTTTGAAGGCCTGCACTGGAGTCCTTCGGTGATTCTGCTTTGCGCTGTAATCCATCGGATGTGGGACTAAAATCAGACTCATCGTCTAAATCCGGCCTCTCGTCCAGCCGAGGTGGCAGTCTCCAGCCTTCCCTATCCATACCTGAAGGACGTTGAAAGAAAACAACCGAGTTTTATTTCCATAAAACAAAAGAATCACCTTTTTGACTTTAAATGTAAAAGATTAACTGCACACCCAGCTCTCTCTGAACATGCCGTGGCACTCCTGCAGCAGTCTTCCTGTGTTTCCTCCTTGTTTTGGTCTTTTCTGATTTTTTCCCTGATTCCAGGGGTCGGAACGTTGATCCTAGATAACAGAGAAGGAGATGCTAAATATAAACATTGAGCTTATAAAGACAAGGACGTAAAAACCGTCTGAACTGATGTTACCTTGCCTGGTGAGTCCATGGCGGGACGACCTTGTGGACACTGAGGACCGCATGGAGACGACAGAGGACGTGTCAGCAATAGTGCTGTCCGTCACAAACCCCACACTTTCCCCGTTGGTTTGGGCGGTCGCTGTGGACTAGAAAAAGAAGAGAAGTTAAAAATATATAAAACTAGAAACCTGAGTATTTGACAAATGAGTGTAACTTACAACCATGCTTTCATTATCCTGATACTCCATTCCAGTGTTGCTTTCTGCAGAAAGAAATCAATTTAATCATCTGGGTGTACTCTATATGTCCAAAAGTGACTAAATCCTCCAATAACAGCATTTGGCATTAAATACGAGGGTAGACCTTCTTGCTGTATCATTTTCAGCCCTTCTTGAGCTTCGGTGTGGAGGTCCTCCACATATTTAGACCTGCTGCCCTCGATAAACACGTTCTCTTGTAACTGCGGGGGCGCAGGGGTCTTGTCATCGTTTAGGTTGGGTTGAGCTGGAAACGGAGAAGAAGTGAGAAGGATCGTTGTTACTGCAACGTTAAAACAATCAATCAAATCAAAGATACTTTATTAATCCCAGAGGGAAATTAGAGTTTCAGTACACACAATTCAGAGATCAGACATACATGGGCAAAGACACATGACAAGAATTGGTGACTGTGGTCATTCTCAACCCGAGTCGTGCTACCTTAATAGAGATAAGAGGGTTACATGAGGATTGGTTCAGGTGGAGGGAAAAAAAGGCACTTCAGAGTTACCCTCCACAGGTAGGGCAGCTTTGCTCTGCAAAAGAACACCTCAGATATATATGCAACAGACTTCAGACAACACAACACAAGGGTGACCATATGGATGGGAAGTGTGAATTAAATCAGCACTGTGGGATTAAACTCCTGTGACTTCTATAAAGGCTTTAAACGGGGATTATCACATCAAAATCTACCATCTGCAACAGATTTTCCAACCTAAAATTCCAATACAAGGAGATTATACACATCTTATGACAAAAACAAAACTATAGTTCAGTTTTTTTAAATAAAAACCATGTAAAATATCAAAGCTGTCCTCTGAATATGGCCGTCAAGCACAACACACACAAACTCGACCGTTTCACCGTGATTTTAACTCAGAGAAGGAAAATTGTGGATAACTTTGCGTCCTCACACTTCCAGGTCACAGTCAGCCGTCAACAAGTCTGCCTCAACTCGTTTACGTAATAGTGACAGTTGCTCTGCATCTGGCTGTGAGAACATGCTGGTTTCACAGCCAGTCGCAGCTCAGTTTTTACTTTCTTTCATACAGCAGCAGTATAGTGCTGCTCTGACACCTAAAGCTAACATGTTATTAGGGAAGCAACAATACCACTTTTTTTCCAAACCGATACGACACCGATACTTGGATCTGAGTGCTCGCCTTTACCGATTACCAATACTGATACTTCTACCACACAAAAAAATGCAATGATTTGGAATAAAGATTTTAGTTTCTTCTCTGCTTTCAACAGGAAAAGACTGTGAGGTAGATAAAAAGTAAAATATATGGATGGAAATCATCACAAAACTAAAATATTAGGTGAACAGAAACAACAAAATACAGTGAAGCCATTGTCAAGCAACTGCATTGGTATCGGTGCCGATACCAACACCAGTATCGTATCGGTGCATCCCTACATGTAATGTAAGTTTACTTCTAGTTTATTTGTCTGTTATTAAAAATGATCAATAAGAGCCTTAAATGAGCACATTTGACTTTTTAGCCAGTCTAATTATAGTGATTAATAATGTATAAATAATGGAGATTTTTCAGACCAAACTATGTCAACTAAAGCTCCACACACTCACCTTTCTTCTTTAAAATCACTGGAAAGCAGTAAAGGTAAAAATTAGAGTTATTAGTCATGAGTACCACCATAATCTCTTATTTCCTGTAAAAGTAATCCACCAAAAAAGCAAAAAATCCTCAAATTATTAAAGAAAAAGCTGCGACGGCGTCGTCCATCGGTTTGGTCGCGTAAACGTCCTGAAACAATGGAGCAGCGGTTGTTTCTGATGAGGTTGTTTTTGCCGGTTTACGTTAGAGCAGAGAGTGGACCAAACAGAGCTCTAATCCTCAGTGGCTTTGGTTCCCCCTCCCGCTCCACCAGGGCTCAAACAGACACCCACCACCCTGTTGTTGTTCCCCATCAGGGCAGGCCCGACTGGTCGGTTGGATGATGCTGAATATGTAAACATTACAGGAAACTGGGGATTTAACGGTTTCTGGAACCACAGCTTTCTCTTCATAAAACTACTTCATAGGTTTGTTGAATCAAACACAATTTGGTCAAAAAGTGATTTTTTTTGTTCTTATTTAGAATTTATAAATTGCCACAAGGTGGAGTGAGTGACCTACAAAATAAATAAATAAAACTAAAACCATATTTTAAAAGGAGGCACTCACAATTCAGAAACAAACAGAAACAGGGTTCCTGATCGGGAGAGGCTGAAAACATTTGAAAAATCAAAATTTTCTGTCTTTTGTTGATTTATTGAGACTTTAAACGTATCTGGTGTGAGGTTAGTTCAACACCCAGAGTGCTGAACAGACATGACTTGGAATGTTTGACATCTGAGCAAATGGAAAACATTCCCATGGTTGTGACCCTACGGTGAGTCAGACAAAGAGCTTCACAAACAAAACAAAAACAGCTAAAAAGTTGGATAAGTGTTGCCAGGTTTAGAACCGAACTCGGGCTGCTGGAGTAAAAAATTTGTAAACAAAGTGAAGTCGGTTCAGGAAAATCCAATCTGGTTACCATGACAGCGAACCAGAGCGGACAGGCGGGAACATCAGCGGGAGCTTCCCGCTTTGATCCTGCGATCACTTTGCGATTGTGTTCATATTAATGACCCCATCTGTCTCTGCGGGATTATCTATAAACCCCAAACTAATGTTTACATCTCGGCTTTAGTTATCAACGCTAATGGATTTGACGCTCTGGGATCGTTTCTTTAAGGATTAAAACTTCCACTTTTAAAAGTGGGGAAAAACAGTATTTTAATTTGTAAAATGAAGAATCATCTCAGAGGGTCATTTGCGGTCATATTTATATAAATATTTTTTTATTAAAACAAGAGAGCCAAAGAACCAAAAATCAACTTTATTCCTGCAAAAGCAAGCCGACTGGTTTTAGGAAATGTTAAATATTTAAACAAATTAATATAATAAAAATCTAATTATTAGAGCAGCTGTGGCTACATCGTAGCTCACCCCCACCAGTGTGTGATGTGTGTGTGAATGGGTGATTGATTGTGTTGTGAAGCGCCAGACCAATTATTATTTTTTATTGGGAAATTTAATCTTTACTTTTTAACTAGCTAGAACATAGAGCATCTACCTTTGTACTTAATTAATGTAATCTTATTTTATTCCTATACATAATTGTTTTAACTTTAGGAAAGTAATAAAACTAGTTTGGATCATTTTTTTCTAATTTACATTAAAAACTGTTTGGGTTGTGAAAGACCACTTCCATTCACAAATGTGTTTGGCCTTATTAGACAATCAAATTTCATTTTCAAAGCTCGGTCCTACATACATGTATATCTTTAATGGAAACCCCTTATTTAGTATATAATCCCATAATAATCCCATTTCCTGCACATTTTAGATGCTTTTCTCTGCTCTACGTCACCTGATCTGAAGGAGTTTGTGATTGGAGAACTTCACAACATCCTAAAAAGGTTATCTAACCTGGACCAGGTGTGCTAGAGCAGAGAACCAACTAGAACACGAACCCCGAGGCCCAGGATTGGCCACCATCTTTTCTGCAGGAGAGTCGACCATCTGCATCCAATCACCGTCTCAGCAGACCGTATGACAAGCTGCAGTCTGTTTCAACACAAACTAGCACCGATGTGGGAATCAAGAGAAGTCACACACACACACACACACACACACACATGCACGCACACACACATCGTCTCTGCCCAAACTTGCCCTTTTATCTTGTTTTGCACAATCAGGAAGACAACCATGCAGAGATAGTCTCTCCAGCTTTCGGGGTGACGTCTGCCAGGTGTTTAAGCCTCTGTAATCATAAGAGACCTCACTAAAAGCTTTATGATGAATGGGAAAAAGCTGGAGGCTCAAATGTGTTTTCTAAACGGCAGACACCCTTTTAGGTTCTTGGTTTTCACTGAATTAAACATAAACATCACAGCTAAAAGAAAGGAAACAATGTGGTGTGACAATGACTAAAATCCAGGTAACAGATACGCCTGCATCATGTGGCGTCCACGTCAGACAACACAATCGGTTCACAAGGAAACCAGCATGTATCAGATGTCTAAAAATAAACACGATGAACTCAAAACATTATTTAGATGGTTTGTTTCCAGACAACATCCGATGCTGTTTATATCATCTCATCCTAATGAGTCTCCCACAGGAAAAAAATAAATCAAACCACCTTAAAAAATATGCAAGAGAAGAGAAAATATTCAGGCCTGCTGGTGCCCGTTTCATACAAGCTCAAGTTTGCCAAATGTTCCTACTATATGTGACTCCAGACAATAAAACTGTTTTAGAAGAATCTTGAATTACCACCTGCAGGGTTTTATTCTACCGCCAAGAAGGCAACCTTACATTCACATCGTCTGTTCAGACTCTAAAACACGGAGTTAAGACCAGAAAGAGTTCCGCTCAGGCCAATAGCCTTCTTCCGGCTCTTGGAGAGTACAGACGCTTTTTTCTCCTCTCCCTCCCTCCTCCTCCCAAGGCTCTCTGTCCTGTCTACCTGTGCACTGCGCTTTCTGCATTTTTTCTGGAAACAGGAAATTATTAAACATGGATTTGGTCAGTTGTTCTTTCAATGCGATTGACAACATTTTTTGAGCGATGAGAACGGGAGAAGGGGCTCCCAGATGCCCCTCTGGGACAGAGCCAGCTGGGGATATCATGGACTCCTGGAAACAGTGGAACCTGATCTGCCTCTCTCAACTGTCTGTAGAGGATTCTGAAGATGTCTGGATATTGGTCGTTTTGGTGTCTGGATTCCTGTTGTTTGGCCTGAGCAGTTACCTGGCTTACTGGAAAATTAACGAGCTTTCGAGGAATATTGGCTCAATCCCGGAGCTCAGGGATGGAATGCATCATGCTGTGAACGCACAAACTCATATAATTGTCGAGACGAGTCGTAAGCTTGGAACTTTGGCTGAGATTCAGGCTCTGACCCAGTAGGTGGATTCGATCAAGGAGAGAGTTGACGGATCAGCACGGATTGGAACAGATTGATTATGCCATTCTTGGACCTGGAGGGGTTGAAGACCAACAGAACTCTAAGGCAGAGAGGAAATTATCTCTGTCTGTCCCCAAAACAATTCTTATCTGAATCTGGTGCCCTTGGAGCCTGTGAGGCTGAAGTGAAAACTTCCCCCTCAGAAGAAATATGGAATGCTGCCATTGCTATGGAAACCCTTTCTCCCTATCCCATCCTGGGTGGGACTGTGACCGGTGAAGGCCATGGAACCGTATCTAGGAGTCACTGTGCCCTCTAACCCATTATTTCCCTCCCCTGTCCAAACGGAGGTGATGAGCACTGCTCTTGCGGCTGCACGCCCTGATGTGAGGAGAGTCCCAACCCTACCTCCCCACCTGGGAGGCACATATGCAAACTGCTGTAATTCCTACACCGTTCACCTGATTCTGATGTAAATACCCTCAAATAAAAGCTGACAGACTGCAGTTAAAGCACATCTTGTTCGTTTCATTTGATATCCATTGTGGTGGTGTATAGAGCCAAAAATGTTAGCATTGTGTCGATGTCCCAGTATTTATAGACCTGACTGTATGCATGTCTGATCTCAGAATTGTGTGTACTGAAATAGTTGAATTTCCCTCTGGGATTAATAAAGTATTTTTGAATTTTAATTTTAATCTGCAAAGTAACTACAAATAAATGCAGATTATCAGCAGATTAAGCACAGAACGCAAGATCTTTATCACAATTTTAGGCGTAAAATTGAGATTAATGCGAGCAATTTCACAAACTATCCCTGCTTTTATGAAATTGTGACGTGGGAGTGAGATATGAGTAACTAGAAAGACAAAATCCCAAAATGATTGTGTACGAATGAGAAAAAATAGTTTAATAAAAAGCTAAATGGAGCAACTTCAAAACAACTAACGAACCATCAAGGATTGAAGTTAGTGTCTGAGTGTAACAGAACAGTGCTTGTTGACGGCTAAAAATATCTTTCATGGAAATAAGAGTCACCACTTCTGGAAAATAACAATATTATAACAACAGACTTCATTTTACATGAAAAACACGATGGAGGTTGTATAATGGTTTGGGCCAAGTTTAATATCTTAATTTAACGTATAACCAGCTAAATCTAAAAAGTGGTTAATGAAGCAAAGCCATAGTAAATTAGAAATGTGTTGTTTAAAAAAACAGATCACCTTAGGCCTAGTCCACACGTAGCCGGGTTTTTTTAAAAACGAATATCCGCCCCTTCAAAAACTTGCATCCACACCACCTCGTTTAAAAAAAAACTCTGTCCACACGTACCCAGATAAATACATTGTTAAGGACATGCCAGACCTGTAGGCGGCAGTACTTCCCCCGTTCTTAACCTCGTCCTTCGTCTGTGGTCTTCCGCAAGGAGCAGTAATTCCGCTTGCAAAAACAAACAAGCAAATAGCGCTTGGACAACTGATAAAGCGAGCGCAGCTCTGAGGGCGTCCATGCTGTCGGCTAGTGTAAATACAGGTCGCACACGTGATGTCAGCATTTTTTTTGTCGCGGAAAGTGACGTTGCGGACCTTAAAACTCCGGTTTTGTCTGTCCACACGCAGACACCCAAAACGGAGAAAACACAGATCTTCACTTTGGCCGGAGTTTTTAAAAAGATCCGTTTTCGTGTGGATGAAAAAAATCTACGTTTTGGCAGATCCCCGGCTACGTGTGGACAGGGCCTGACGCGTGTTTCTAACAGATTCTGATTTGCAGTCGTTATTAGAACAGAAATCTGGAGTTATCTCTCTGAGGGCACCATCTAGAGGCAGAAAAATGGATTGCACCTCAAGCTCCTCTATCTAATTCTGTGATTACGGCTGGAAGCAACGCCACTCGTTTGTGAGCACGAACCTCTAGTCAGAAGATTAGAAAATCATTAGAAAGTAGGGCTGCACGATATATCGCAAATATATCGTTATCGAGAGATCAGCATGCACAATATGCACACTGCAAAGAACAAATAAATATAGCAATGAGTGGTCAGCTCAAATGTTTGCTACACATAATGCATTCTGTCAATTAAATGGAAGCATGATGTTTTTTTAATAAATCAAATAGAGCTCTTCACCCATTTGGTCAATTGGGTGGGTTCTCACAGGTCAGATGCCCGCCCCCGAAGTGGATGGCACTTCATTTTGATGGTTAGCAAACACCTGAGCTAGCTTTGTTCTGCTCTTTCTGCTGATTCTGCTTTTCCCGGGATCCACTGATTGCCTTTTCTTGTTCATTTTCTTTTTTCCTTTCCTCACATCTTTAGCTTTTCTCATTTTTATGATTTTTTTGTCATTTTTTTATTTCTTTGTCTTTGATTATTTTCATTCCCGAGTTAAGTTTTTATTTATCGCGAGTAATATCGTCATCGACTTTAATCAATGTTATCGCATATCGCAGGTTTTCCTAATATCGTGCAGCCCTACTAGAAAGGTCACCAACTTTGCTTCTGTGCAGGTACTTACACAAAGCATACGTAAGAAGATGTCTAACAATATTGGCTAATGCCGAGCAACTCTCAATTCAAATTGCTCAGGGCTCTAAGGACGGGGACGGGGTTTAACAAACTGAAATTGGGCACATTGCCTACATTATGAGTTAGACCATCACTTTTATGGCGTTCTAAATTAAAAAAATCATACATAATTCCTGAATGGGGAAAACTCAGGGTTGCTGCTTTAACGTCAACTAAACTTCATGTTCATTGCTCGTAAGTGCTGCAAGCATGACTGCAGGCTATCATTTCTTCTGTCTTTCATAAAACTAACATGCTTGGGCTGACGATGGCTCCAGCGTAGAAAAAGTCTCAGGAGGAAAAAATGCATTAAAATCAAAGGTTGTGTCAGATTTGACTCAACTCTGCAGCAGCAGGTTGGACAATAACTCAGTAATGATATACATCTATCAACAGACGTGTGTCGCAGTAGAAACAGAATGGGTCAGTAAATGTTAATTATAACTTATCGGGTAGTTTATTACTAGAATCCTTATTTACTCCCAACTAATCAGAACTCATAGAACTAAACAATTCAATTCAGTTCAATTCAAATTCAAAAATACTTTATTAATCCCAGAGGGAAATTGATTAACAGACAGCATGTGACCTAAAAAAGATGTTGCAGCAAGAAGAGGTGGAGGAAACTGTCCCAAAAGTA